GCGCCGCCAGTCTGGTCCCGGGAAGAGAGGGAGGCCTGGGGGGCATCGGGTGGCTGGCTCGAGCTGTGCCAGGTGAAGGGTCTGCTGGCTGGGTGCTGGCAGGCTTGCAACTGGCACAAGCAGCGTAGCCAGACCGTGGCCGTTTAAGGGCTCTTGGGCCGGGAGGGGGGCAGAAGAATTTCCCTGGCTGTGCCCAGAGTGGCCACCAGGGCAAACTGGGGAGGGCTAGTCTCCCAGTAGTTCGAATTAAGTGGCTACTCAGCCCTTAATTCGAACTACTTAATTCGAATTAAGCTTTAGTTGTCATAGGACTAATGGCTGTTGGTTCGAATTGACATTGTAGTGTAGACATACCCTATGGAATTTGCTGTGTCAGTTTGTGACCGGTTACTCCTTAACTGGTGTTATCTTTGGATGTTAACATTCCCCAACATCCCTGGGTCATCCTGTCCTGGGTCATGCTGCCCTGTGGCCCGGGCCGTCAACATTCCTCGCATCTTAGTAACATAGACACAAAACTAGATTCTGTCTCTTACTTATTAAACCTGAAAGCAAAGAAGTGTATATTTAACTAGAGGGCCCTAGAGCGTGGCCTTATTAAACCTGAAAGCAAAGAAGTGTATATTTAACTAGAGGTCCCTAGACCGTGGCCTTATTAAACCTGAAATCATATATAGAGTTGCCCAGTGTCTGTGACTCTGTAATGCTGGAACGCTGGCTGTTCCCTCTAGGCAGCGCTGTTGTCTCCAGCCATGGCGCTTGGCTGACTTCGCCGCCGCTCAGCCGGGCCGCAGCGTGGGAGCAAGAGGCATAAGTGGCCATTTGGGGTCCGTGCTCCCCATGCAGCACGAAGAGTGTGGGGCCCAAATGGCCGCTTGCTCCTGCGCGGTGGCCTGGCTGAGGAACGCAGACGTCAGCCGAGCGCCATGGTGGGAGGCAGCAGCGCCAACCAGAGGGGGTCGGGGCCTGGACGAGCGTGCGTCTCTGATGTCAGGAAAGGGCGACGGATTCAAAAGGAGGAAAGCGGCGCGGAGGCGGAGGAGACAGAGAGGAGAACGGAGGAGGTGCAGGACAGCGAGAGAGAGGGAGAGAGACGCAGCAGGAGAAGGAGAAGAGAAACGCAGAGTGAGAGGCGAGAGGGGGAGAAAAGAAAAAAGAGAAGGAGAGAGAGTCACAGTTCGGATCCTGCCGACCACGCCACTGTGCCTGACCGGGTCATGTCTGGGCACAGATGAGGGCGTCTGCTCAGGGCAAATTGCTCAAATTCAAGGCTCTCTATAGCCCCCACACTGGAGACCTTCCTAAATAGGCCACAAACCAGTCCCACAGAGCGCTTCAGCTGCCTGCCTGCTCAGCCGGAAGCCTCTCGAACAAAACCCCTCCAACACCCCAGCAATATCCGTGCCCCAGATGGCCCCGAGCCTCATACACAGAAGAGGGGTTATAGAACACAATCTCACCTTCCCCAAACAAGTTCTGTCCAGTTCCAAGAAACCAGCCACAGATCCCTGGTCAATTTACACCTGGATCTTACCCACAAGATCACGCTGAGCCAATCCTTTAGAATCTAACATCTAAAGGTTTATTACTACCAGAAAGAAAAGCCTGAGAGTGAGGTTGTAAAAGGATCATACATTACATGCATTGAGTCTCCCAGTTCTCAATGCAGGCTCTCGGCAGAGATGTTATAACTGCTGGCTTAAAAGGCTTTGGTGTACATCCTATGTCAGGATGGGTCCACAGTTCTTTCCAGCTCGTGGTTCCCTGCAATGCTGCCTCTGCAATCAAGAGCTGAGCTGAAGACCAAGATGGAGGGTGCCACATGGCACTTCCTGGGGATAGTCACATGGCCAGTGGCCAGCTGTGCCTTTGGCCTCCAGAGGTCCATTGTTCCCTGGAGCTTTGCTCATTAGCTTGTCCCTGGGCAAACATTCCCGGCCCATTGCTCCACCTCAGACAAAGAATCCTTCAGCAGCAGCACAGAGTCCAAATTTCTAACTTCACACCCAGACATTATACGGGTATATGAAAACCATATACAGAATCCATAGACAATAAGCTTTAGTTTGACACGTCACATGGCCCCCTTTGTACCAACTTTTGGGCAAACACCCCTCATGGGCACAGCAGTGACCTGGCTGCTCCCCTAAAATCCAGTACCGTGTCAGAGGTGATTGAGAGAGAGCAGAAAGCCTCCACCGAGAGACCATGGAGGGATGAAGCGAGAGCTGCCTACAGCAAAGCAGAGCGGGATTTTGCAGAGGCAACCAAAACCAATGTGAAAGGCTGTTTCAGCCCTGTGCATAATTAGGAAACAAGGGAAGAAATAGGAGGAATGCTAAGCCCCAGGCAGCATGTAGAAAATGAAGATGATCTAGGCTTTGCTCGGCAGCTGTCCATCGGCAAAACCCTGGAGAGCAACATGAACAGGAGACACTAAAAGGAAACATCACGGCTGTGTCTAGACGGGCCAGTTTTTTCAAAAAATCAGCCGCTTTTCTGGAAAAACTTGCCAGCTGTCTACACTGGCTGTTTGAATTTCCTCAAGAACACTGACGATTTCGTGTAAGATTGTCAGTGTTCTTGCGGAAATATTATGCTGCTCCCGTTCAGGCAAAAGTCCTTTTGTGCAAAGCTTTTGCACAAAAGGGCCAGTGTAGACAGCTCAGATTTGTTTTGCACAAAAAAGCCCCAATTGTGAAAACGGCGATCGGGACTTTTTTGTGCAAAAGCGCGTCTAGATTGGCACGGACACTTTTCCGCAAAAAGTGCTTTTGTGGAAAAGCATCCCTGCCAATCCAGACGCGCTTTTCCGCAAATGCTTTTAACAGAAAACTTTTCCGTTAAAAGCATTTGCGGAAAATCATGCCAGTCTAGACATAGCCCATGGGATGTGCGGAATGTTTGACCAGACGCGTAGGAAGAGAAGAGAAGAACAAGATCGGCTGAACAGCTTTGCAGAGGTTCAGGGAATGCGTAATTGTCATGCTCTATCACTCAGCGCCAAAGGGCAAACACAGATAAGACAGAAATAAAAGCTCCAGTCACATTTGTCAGCTCAGAGTTTATCTCATTAATGCAGAGAAACTGAGAGCTCCTATTGGCTAATTGCCTGGCCCCACTCTGGGTGTGTGCAGTATAAAAAAGTGGGAATTTGTTTTTCCTTTGCTTGATGCAGCCAGAATCCAGAGGAATTTCTACTCGCAACAATGGAACCGCTGGGAGCAACCACGGTATTCCTGGTCATTTGCGTCTCTTGCCTTCTCTTCCTCTCCGCGTGGAGAAAGACGCCTGGAAGAGGGAAGCTGCCCCCAGGGCCTGTTGCTTTTCCCCTCATTGGGAACATGCTGCAGCTGAATTCAAACAACATGCCCCAGCAATTAGAGCAGGTAAGGGAGTTTTCTGGGTGCCTGTTGCTGTGTTCTTAGTAGGCATTTAGCTCAGCCTGGCCTGCTGGCAGTGCCATGTCGGCTCAAATTTCTGACTTACTGTTCCACCAAACAATCAGTCTTGGATGCTAGATGGAAATGATTTGGGAGGAGACACTGCTTGTCCGCACCTATCCCAGAGCCCCTATAGCAGCACTGCCATAGCTACAAGCTATCAGAGGCTGGGGAGAGTGGCCTAGTGGGTTATGTAAGGAAATGGGACAGACAAGCTTTTAGTTCTGTTCCCACCTCTGACACAGACTCCAGCTGTGCCCTTGTGCACGTCATGTCACCTCTCTCTGTCTTCACATCCCGTCTATAAAACTGCTCTAATGTATTTGCCTGCATCACAAAAGGATTGTAAAGCAGAAATTGCAGCTCAGGACGGGAGAAATGATGCATTTTAGCAAGCTCTGCACACAGAATTTGGGATTGTACAGACAGGTTGGATTCTCCCCTTCCTGTGAATCCACACAAATAATGAGGAGTACACAGGACAAATTCTGCAACCTCATAGCAGCTGTTCCACTCCATTCTCGCTCTGCTCACCATGCCCTGAGATACACATGTACTTGTCTACTGATTTCCACAGGTGTGATCAGTTGGAAATTGGACAGTAATTCTGTAGGGGATGTAAATGGGGAAACAGGATCTCACTTTTCACCCTCTTTGGCTCCAGAGGGCAGAGAGGAGTAAAGTGAAGGGAAACTCTTCTCATTGCAAAATCGGCCGGCGTGACTGAAGAGAAGCAGGCCCCTTTCTGTGCAGTTAGAAGGATCAAGATCACCATTGAGTGTCCCTATATTAATGCAGGCTGCTCTTATAACGAGAGCGACGAGGAGTCCTGTGGCACCTTATAGACTAACAGAAGTGTTGGAACATAAGCTTTCGTGGGCAAAGACCCACTTCATCAGATGCTCTTATAACCAGGGAATTGTACAGCACAGAAGTGTGCTAGGAACACACAGACAGACACATCGATGGGGAAAGGGTTTAAAACGCAGGAGTTTAACAACATGATGCATTGAAATGTCCGGGAGGCCCAGAGCTCCAAGGTGTGTGGGTGCCTAAATCTCAATGAATCAGTGGAGTCTGGCTTCTCACTACTGTCCCTAGGAGGAGCGGGGCTGAAATGACCAAATTGGGACGGTTCTCACTAGTTACACTTCCAAAGTGTTAGCTCTGTGGCAGGAAAGCGCTGCCCAGCAGTCTGTAATGTGATCTCCACACAAATTGGTAATGAAATGGATCAAAGCTAAAGCTTACTGGCCTCGCCTGTGAAACTTTTACAGCTCAGTAGAACGTACGGCCCGATTTTCACCATCTACTTGGGCTCCGAGCGGGTTGTGGTGCTGCATGGATACGAGGTTGTGAAGGAGGCTCTGATCGACCGCAGGGAGGAGTTCGGTGCCCGAGGAAGCATGCCCCTATTCGACAAAATTGCCAATGGAACAGGTACCTTTCGTGCAATTTCCACATCGAGAGGGGAGCACGACTGAGAAGAGAAACGACACAGAGCTCTTGAAATCAGGCCCCTCCCACCAACATAAGGTTGGTCTAATCCAAGATCCAAACTCCCCTCTCTTGTCTACGTCAGGTCCAGGGTCCAGCACAGCACAGCGCTACTGCAAACAGTATTGCAATGTCTCTGGAATGCCATCTCCCTGGGAGACCACAGACATAGTAGCTGTTAAGTTGAACCTTTGGCTCAGCCGTATTTGGGTGTTGGCCAGGCAGACAGACAGCGTCTGGCCTCCCTCCTTTCAGGCCTGTTCTCTCCCTGTTTCCAGGTATCGCTTTCACCAACGGGGAGCGGTGGAGGCAGCTCCGGCGATTTACCCTCACCACCCTGAGAAACTTTGGGATGGGAAAGAAAAGCGTTGAGGAGCGGGTCCAGGAGGAAACCCGTTTTCTGGTGGAAAGACTCAGAAACACGCATGGTGGGGATTTTCTTACATACACTGAAAACGGAGCAGTCGAAGAGTCTTGTCTTTCTGTTTTACACGATGTGGATTGTTTGGCTCCAGTGTCCATTGGCTGCTCCTGTAACAGCCCGTTCTGGTGCAGAGGGATAGACTGTGTGAAACACCCCAGAGATGGCCGTTTCTGGCTGTGTGTTGCTCACATTTTTTCCCCTGTCCAGTTCGGACTAGGGTGGCTAATGCAGGCATTCGAACCTACAATGAGGAGTAGCGGTAGTTCGAATTAGGAGCCTTATTTGAACTACCTAGTCTGTGCTGCGTGTAGCCGCGGGCTGGTAGTTCGAACTACCGGGCATTTAAAAATGGTGGCACCCGGGAAGATGCAAATAAAGCCCAGGATATTTAAATCCCGGGCTTCATTTGCAAGTTCAAATGCCTACATTAGCCACCCTAGTTCGAACTAGGGTGGCAGCGTAGACATACCCTCAGAGAGGGACTGATGGCCCCTGGTCAGACCAGAACGGGCCAGGCAGAGGGCGCACAGTCCGGATTTCTGAGAAAATGATGTGAAGTGCTTGTTTCATGCAGCGTGTGAGAGGAAAGTGTGGGGATGGGCAGACCTGCAAGTTCAAATGCCTACATTAGCCACCCTAGTTCGAACTAGGGTGGCAGCGTAGACATACCCTCAGAGAGGGACTGATGGCCCCTGGTCAGACCAGAACGGGCCAGGCAGAGGGCGCACAGTCCGGATTTCTGAGAAAATGATGTGAAGTGCTTGTTTCATGCAGCGTGTGAGAGGAAAGTGTGGGGATGGGCAGACCTAACCCCTGGCCCTGTGAGGTCGGAGCCCCAGTGACTCAGTGACGGATGGGGAGGGTGAAGCCAGCGAATTCAAACTGACTCTCTGTAGCGTTGTTTTGCTCCAGGGCGGCCCTTTGACCCCTCCCAATTCCTCACCCACGCCGTCGCCAACGTCATCTGCTCCATCGTCTTCGGGGACCGGTTTGACTATGCAGATCAGAAGTTTGCTACTTTAGTTGGTCTCATTGTGGATAATGGCAAATTCCAGCAGTCGCCCTGGGCAGGGGTATGTTCGGGGATTTCATTTACGCTCTCCTGGGCACTGCGGGAGGGGACAGAGGTTTCTCTCAGTAAAGGCTGAGCCTCTCCAAACTGGGACACTCTGCTCCGGCACCGTCTGTGGCCCAACCTGGTGGAGGGCTGGTGGGTGTGAGTCCTGTCGGCCAGCAGAGAACTGGCTGTGGGGCTGGGAACCTGGCGCATGGCAGTGAGGAAGCTTGCTGGTGCTGGCAGTACGGGCCAGCTGGCCAGAAGTCCAGTGTCCAAGCCAGGGTGGAGTCATTTGAGTCATTATCTGCTACTAGAAAACGTAACCAGTGTCGTCCAGGTACTTCAGGGCAAGAGCTTGGTGGTGTGGGGGGTGCAGGAGTCAGGGTAGGGAGAATTCGGAGGACTCAGGGCAGGAGGCTGGGAGTTTGGTGGGTGCAGGTGGGGTTGCCAAGGGATTCCCTTCCCCCCTCGATCCAGGAGGGGGTAAGTGGGGGCTGTCTCCCTGGAAGAGGAGCCCCATGTACCCAGTCTGGTGGCAGGTAAGATGGCAAGCCACAGTCCCAGCTGGCCACTCACTCGGTGGGGCTCTCCCCCGTGGTCACAGTGCATGATGACACTCCCATGTGCCCGTTGCCCCCACTGGTGAGTGTGAGTATTGCATCCCTCCTCTCTCTGCCCCCTCCTTTTCCATGTTCTGGAAAACAGTCCCATTCCCCCCACACCTGTTTTCCTGGCACAGTCAGATCCTGACCTTGCTTTAAGTTAGGAGAAGAGGAAACTGCCTACCAAAATTGGTGGCCCTTGCTCTTACCAGTTAGGAGGTGTACTTGAACAGACAGACAGACAAATGCATATTTCTAAAATATGTCGATACATGTCCAGACATGTCAAGCTGTGCTTTTCTTTCATCCTTCTTAGCTATATACTTTTTTCCCAACTCTCATGGATTACATCCCTGGGCCTCACTACAAGTTCTTTAAAAATACCTGGAAGTTCAGAAGATTTGTTCAGGAGAGAGTGAAGATGCACAGAGAGTCTCTGGATCCCAACTGCCCTCGAGACTTTATCGATGCTTTCCTCATCAAAATGGACGAGGTGTGTGAGGGCAGGAGCCGGTTCCCTTTCCCATGCAGAGGGTTTTACATCTCGTGGGGATGAATTTCTTAAGCAATAACATCAGCCTGGGCTTTGGGGAAGGCCTGACAGGGAGACACGGTGTGTGCCCAAGAGACATGCAGGTCAAACTCTGCTCTCCTCCAATATATTATAAAAAAATCATCTTATTGCACAGAAATGGCCCACGGCACTGCAGCAATGGTGCTATCTTCTCCGTCCTCTTGGCTATTTTGTGTCAGATATTTATGATGGTTAGACTGGGTTACCTCTGGGGTAGCAGATGACAGTTTTTTGGCCTGTATGAATATCTCGTAGAGTTTTTCCATCAAAAAAGATCTTCTCCAAATCTGTATTTCAGGAACAAATGAATGTCCAGTCAGACTTCAATGCGAAAAGTTTGTTACAAACAACAATAGAGTTATTTATCGCTGGAACAGGGACAACCAGCACTACTCTAAAATATGGGCTCCTGATTTTTCTGAAATACCCCGAAATACAAGGTAACTCTGTCTGTCTGTCTGTCACAGACACACACACATGTGTGCGCACACAGAGACACACACACACACACAGAGCTAGGACTTGAGTGATGTTAGTGCCAAATTGGTGTGACCATGCCGATTGAATGATGTGGCGGTATCTTGACGTGACTTAAACATGGCCAAATAAGAGAGGATTCTGGGAGCAGGTTCTCATCAAGCAGCAGTGAACTGCAGTGAACCTGATGAGTGAAGCTGGCAAGGATTTCTGGCCACCGATACTGGGCTGATTGGTCGGGCGATTTGGACCCTTTGAGAAGTACCTAGGGCATGGGTGAAGGTCCAGCCTTGAGCACAAGCTGACCTGGTCATCACCTCGCAGCAGAAGGTCACGCACAGGGCCAGCTCTAGGCACCAGCAAAACAAGCAGGTGCTTGGGGTGGCACATTGCCAGGGGCGGCATTCTGGCCTGAGAAGGAGCAAGCGGGGACCCCATCTCCTCTTCTCCCCCTCTCCCTTCCCCCACCTCCTCCCACCTGGATCCCCATCTCCTATCCAGCTCTCTAAACAATCCCCCCTCCCCCTACTCTCTGGGCCCTGAACCCTCCTCCACACCCACACACACACCTGCCCAGGAACCCAGCCCCCTTGTTCTGTGTCCTGACAACCTCACCCTTGCCTGGGACCCAGGTGATTCTCCCTCTCCCTTTGTCTGAGGAAGGGGAACTCTGGAGTTCTCAGTGCTCGTGTCCCCAAGTCCCTTCTTGTCTGGGGCAGGAGAGCTTTATTAAAATTGGAATTGTGATCCCATTTAAATAGGCTTTGTTTTAAATAATATACCTTTACAATTAAATTAAAAATTGTTATGGCCTAAATTTATCATAACCTATTTCAATAACTTATGAATTAAATTAAATAGAACATGTCTCCTGTCAACTTTTAACAAAATTCTACCAGGTCACCAGTGTAAGTACCCAGAACCAGTGTTTACATCAGCAGTAGCTTCTTCTGCAGGTGAAGAGAGAATGTTTTTATTGCTTTGGTTTATTCAGCTAGTTCAATTCAATGATTAGTTCATTCACTGTTGCAAAACCGAGAGTTGATGAACCAGAAAAAATTGTTTTCCTCGTCTCTCAGTAAAAAACTGGTTATGAGAGCGTTCTAACATCTTGAAGAACATGATGACTAGATTCGATCTGTTAAATTCACTATGGATATTTCCTTTGAAAGGAATTTTAGATGCAAAATGTGTTTGGATACTTTTTTGTTATGTGTCCTGCACATTTGAGGTACAGTAGTTTTATTTCATACAAAAATTAAATGCTGGTTTTGTTTATTTTAAATAGAATTTCCATCCGTACAGAAGTAGATGCAAATCATATGTTTTTAAAAAAGTAACCACCACTTAGCAAATAATAAATGGGGTAAAATCTGTCTCTTAAGTGTTTCTATTACACACCATTTTGTAATAGAATAAAAATGTAAAAATTAAGAAACTGAATACATGTAAGTTACACAATTATTTGGGCATTTATTTAGTTGGTAGCTGTACTGAGTGTATTCTCCTGGGTAGTAAACAGAAGCACCAAATTTGGCTAAAGGTTATATTTAGGTGTAAATCAACATGTTTTAAAGGTTGCTAATCAATAAGACTCAACCATCCTTTAGGAAAATATTTTTAAAGTATAATTAAAATGATTAATTGCTCATTTAAACCTAGGTTGTCTGCTTGCCAGCTTAAATCATGATTAAAATTAGATATTTAAATCAAAGCTATTTAAATCAATCCACCCTGCTTCAGAGGCTGTTTGGTACATCCCTGAAGGAAAAAGCACAGGGCTGCGCTCATGGAATAGGTCCTAGGCTAGTGGGGTTTTGTTGTCTGGCGCCTGTCTTGCTCTGGACAGTTGAGCTAGGGAGTTGAAACAAAAGTTCTCTTAATCCCTTTGAACTGTCTCGTATAGTGAGGCTGATTCTTGTCCATGGACACCAAGAGTTGGACAGCTTATGTGTTAGGGTTGGAGTCTGAGTGATTATAAGGCTAATACTAAAATCCCTTTGCAGAGTGAGGAGTGGGACTGGGACTCCAGCACTAGGGGATGTGAATAGCTACATGCTTTGGAACACTTTAACTGACTTGCTGTGGATGAGCCTGCCCTCCCATTGCCCTCACGTGGGGAGTCCCTGGCTCTCTGCGAGAGGATGAAAATGCCCCGGGACATAACCCAAGGGCTTTCAAGCATCCAAGGCTTTCCTTCGAGGGATCGGGCCAGGACACTGAGGAGGGCAAACAAGAAGAAAAAGAGGCATTTATGTAGCTCGGTAGCCACCTCCCGTTGCTTGCCAGTCAGGTGCTGTGTGGGGCCCATCCTGGATTTCACTCATGCAGCCACTGAGACAAGGACCCCTCATGCAGCCCACTCACGAGTCTTGGTGGCCCAGTGTCGGTGTAGCTTCCGATACACCAAACTGACCAGGTTGGTTCGAATCCCAATATGCAAATGGGGTGATGCAGTGATGGGCAAATCTGTGGGAACCCTGCTACTCCCCATTATAGTTAAACCTGTCTCATCCGATGACAGAAAAAGTTCAGGAAGAGATTGACCTTGTGATTGGGCAAAGCCGAAGCCCCAGCATGGCGGATCGAAGCCGGATGCCCTACACAGATGCCGTGATACATGAAATCCAGAGATTCATTACCCTGATCCCGTTAGGTACCCCCCGGGCTGTGACTAGAGAAGTTCATCTCAAGCAGTTTGTGATTCCCAAGGTCAGTGCTCAATGTGCATGTGAGAGGTCAAGTTTGTTCTCCTCCTCTTTTGAAGGTTGAATTCCTTACAAGAGAAATGCTTGAACTAGATTTGGGTGACGGGTGGTTTTGCTGATTTACCAGTGATTTAACTGACCTGGACTGGGGGATGCATTTCTGCCTCCTTTCCTTGAACTTCGTGGTTTCAACCAGAAGCCCAGCTAGTCCCACAAAGCTGCAATCCAGCCTTTACCCGCCCACTGACAGGGATGGGATACACGGAGCAACTTTGGGCAAGTCACATTTCACCTCAGAGCCCTTGTTACTGCCTCTGTAAATTTGGAATCGCGCTGCACCTTCCTCTTTGCAAAGTGCTGTGAGACACTGGCGATAAGTATTGAGCAGCATCTCAGACAGGAAAATCCTCCTGCCAGTGACAGAGAAGCTGCACAAAATAAACTATTTGGGGGAAATTGTCTGGCTAGATAATCATCATCCCTTCTGGCCTTGTATTTAAGTCCCCTGGTGCTTTGGGGGATGTTAAGCAGAAGCCACTGACGTTAGAAATGTTGAAATCAGCAGGTCTAAATAATTTTCATCCAAGAGTTTTGAAAGAGCTGGCCGAGGCTCTCACAGGACCATTAATGCTGATGGGTCATGGGGCAGTGAGGAAATTCCAGAAGACCGTAGAAAATGAATGTGCCAATTTTTAAAAAAGGATTAATGGCATAAGCTGGTTAATCACTCACTGATCAGCTGGACATTGATCCTAGGCAAGATAATGGAGCAGATTTTATGGAACTAATCATGAATTTCAAGGAAATGAGACACAGATGCATCCCCCAGTCCAGGTCAGCAAAGGCTGGAGATTTCTCTCTGACAGACAGTACCCATTTACCCCTTTTTCTCGGCATTTGCTCATTCAGGGCACCACGATATACCCTGTACTGAAGTCAGTTCTACATGACAGCAGGGAATTTCCAAACCCAGAGCAATTCAACCCGGGACACTTCCTGGACGACAATGGTGCCTTTAAGAAGAGTGACTTCTTCATGCCCTTCTCTGCAGGTAAAAGAAGCTGTTTAAATGTCAGATCACAGCCTGTCTCCCAGCTCTGCCTGGTCGCTCTCAGACTGGTTTGTGTGCTGTGTTTTCTGGTGGCCCACAGAGGTGGAAGAGGACAGGGAAGGGTTGGCATGGTGATCTGGTAAGAACCAGCCACTGCCCCAGCCTGTGCTTGGATGACTTTTTGCTCCCCTTGCAGGGCCTGGCAGTGCTGCCATGGCAGGGCTCTGCTGCGGTCAGAAGGAGCAGTAGGAGAAAGTCCAATCGGCCCGAGGCCTGAGCTTTGGAAGACCCTGCAGGGCCGGTCATGCTGAGGGAAGGATCCAGACCTGGGCATGTCCAGGCATTGTCCAGTCTGGGCTCAGACCTTTCCCCCGTCCAGCTTCTCTTGTTTCCAGTAGGCGCCTTGGGTGGTCTGCGGGAGGGGCCTGATGTCTGGCAGCCGCCCCTCTTGTTTGGCTTCCCACCTTGATGTCGATTTTGCCCAAGGAGGGAATCCTCGGTGTTCAATTTAAACTTAAAGTACAGACTCCATGATGGGTCTCAGCATGAGGTGACATGGCCATAAGTCTTGGGAGGACCAACCATCGCCCCTCCTCCCAGGCTTCCAGGAGAAAAAAGTTCATTTCCAGGCTATGGTTTCCTTGCCAATGGGCCATCAAAACAGGGCCATACCATACATGCCCCCTTACTGAGCATGACTCCATTCACAAGGTAGCTCGATACTCCCAGTTTTGAAGGATCACCTGCCTACAAATGGGGTCATCCCATTCCATGTACGACATGCTTCCCAGTGATACTTCACAAGAGGCATTTTACCCAGCACATATTCCCCCTGGGCCACATGCTTGTTCATGGCATGTTTTCCTAAAGCCAACGGCATGCCCCGGGATGCCGTTCTGCTCCTGTTTTGTTCCCATTACATCATGTGGGGCATCTGGCTAACGGCATGCCCCGGGACGCAGTTCTACTCCTGTTTTGTTCCCATTACATCATGTGGGGCATCTGGCCACCCGTCACCTTTCCAGCGAAGACAGAAGTTAAAGCCTTCTTGGTGTCCTCAGGGCGGGACAACTTAACTTCCCTCGTTGAGTCCAAACAACAGACCCGCCCGGCCACACTGCTCGCGGTGTTCTGGAGCCGTCTTCCTCTCACCTGCTACTCAGGACACCTCCCAGAAAAGTGTTCAGTGCATCTGCAAAGTGGCTAATCTATTCCTCAAATCCCACATCATCCTCCCCCGCTTCCCACCCTGCGCCTCTAACAGCCTTTCTGATGGCAATCGAAGGGACTCAGGTCTTCAAAGGACCTTGCACATTCAAAAATCTTTCAGCGGAGCCGTGTTAGTCTGGAGCTGAAAAAACGTAACAGACAGCAAATGACCTTGCAGCACCTTAGAGCCTAGCAAGCCATGTGGATGGTGGCATGCACTTCCGTGGGCACAACCCACTTCTTCAGGTGACTGGAGGACGGGGTCCAGGATGCAAATACATAGCAGAGGATGGGGTGCACCGAGAATACTCATAGCCTGCTCTATTCGACTTCCTTAGCACAGACACTCACTGACAGCGTGTTTTCTCCATTCTCCCCCTTCCCTTTCCCACCCCATCCCTTCTCTTTCTCTGCTACTTCAGTGTAGTCTGGACCCCTGCACACCCTGCATCTGCAGAAATGGGTTGTGGCCACGAAAGCTCAATCGCCATTTTTTCTTAGGCGCTGCAGGACTATTCGCTGTTTGTAAAGTTTCTTCAGGTGGCCACCTGGCCTGTCTCCCAGCTCTGCCTGGTCGCGCTCAGACTGGTTTGTGCGCAGTGTTTTCGGAGGGGGCCAGCATCCTCCGTCCGCTTGCCCTCGGTTCCTGGGTGCATCCCTTCAACCCGGAGATTTTGCTTCCACAATAACCATGTTTAACATGTGTTGTGCAGGAAGGCATCCGCGGTCAGCTCAAAGTTCCTTTTTCCGAGCAGGGAAGCGGATTTGTGTGGGAGAGGGGCTGGCTCGGATGAAGTTCTTTTTGGTGCTGACCGCCATCTTGCAGCATTTCACCCTGAAGCCCGTCGTGGACCCCACCGACGTCGATATTACTCCAGTGTCCAGTTTGCTGTCAAATGCACCCAAACCGTTCCAGCTCTGTGCCCTGCCCCGAGAGCGCCAGTGAAAGGTCACCTCAGCTCCATCTGCCCCTCGCTCTCAGGGGTGCTCAACCCCTTGCTGTGTCCCTATTCCGTCCTCATACCAGCCCTAACTCCACCTCTTCCCCTAAGAGCTCGGCCCCACCCCCTCTGTTCCCGGCCCACCTCTGCCCCACCCCACCTCCTTTCCCTCCCTTTAACCAGGTGCACCCCCCACCTTGCTCTTCCCATCCCTCCCCCATCCCACATCCTGCCCCGAGCCTGTCTCCTCCCTGCCCCTCACTCGGCCTCCCAGAACTGCCTGAATGCCGCACACCAGCACTGGCAGGGCCGGGGAGGGAGAACTGGGCCAGGCCCCCCGATGGACCCGGCCTCCCCTCTCCACTGCTCCCATGCTGTGGCCCTGCAGGAGAGCTTCCACTCCAAGGAGCCCGCAGAGCCACCCCAGTCCTCCCCATCAGGGACTTGTGCCCCATTCCTCCCTCACCCCCTTCCACTTACCCCTCTCTAGCCCCCCTTACTGATGTATAAAATAAAGGACACGTGTGTTCAAATAAAGAAACTCTCTTTATTTAACAAAACTGGGGGGGGGGAGATTAACCTGTGGGGAGACTGGGAAAAGGAGGTGGGAGAGGGGAAGAGAGAGGGTGGGAGAGGGGAGGGGGAAACCTGGGAGGAGTGAGCTGGAAGGAAGAAGCCAGGGGAAGAAGGAGGAGGGGAAGTATAAAGATATGGTATGCCATATCTTCAGTACAGTCTACAGATGTGGTCTCCTCAACTCAAAACAGATATTTTGGCCTTGGAAAGGGTTCAGAAAAGGGCGACTAAAATGATCAGGGGTTTGGAACAGGTCCCATATGAAGAGAGGCTAAAGAGACTGGGACTTTTCAGCTTAGGAAAGAGGAGACTGAGGGGGGATATGATAGAGTTCTATAAAATCATGAGTGGTGTGGAAAGGGTGAATAAAGAAAAGTTCTTCATTAGTTACCATAATAGAAGGACTAGGAGACACCAAATGAAATTAATGGGTAGCAGGTTTAGAACTAATAAGCGAAAGTTCTTCTTCACACAGCACATAGTCAACCTGTGGAACTCCTTGCCACAGGAGAATGTGAAGGCTATAACTATAACAGAGTTTAAAGAGAAGTTAGATGAATTCATGGAGGTTGGGTCCATGGAGTGCTATTAGCCAGGGGGTAGGAACGGTGTCTCTGGCCTCTGTTTGTCAAAGGCTGGAGATGGATGGCACGAGACAAATCTCTTGGTCATTGTCTTCGGTCCATCCCCTCCGGAGTACCTGGTTTTGTCCGCTGTCAGCAGACAGGCTACTGGGCTAGATGGACCTTTGGTCTGACCCAGTACGGCCATTCCTATGTTCTTATGTTGTAAGCTCAGGGCTCAAGGTCGGGGGTCTCACTGGACCAACTTGATTTTCATGCAAACCTGCTCCTGGGTTCACATGTGGCCTCTGGTGGCCAGGCTGTCAGCCATGCAGCTGTAGACGGCCGTGTTCCTGTGGCTAGTGCAGAGATCATGGACGTTGGAGGCCTCCCCCCAAACCTCAATGAGGTCCACGATCTCCGCACTAGACCCGGCGGGCCCCCACCTCTTGCGGACCTGGGCAGGCTCCTGGGAGCCGTCTGCCTGGTCCCAGGAAGAGGCGGAG